CCCTCCCTCCCTCCCTCCCTCCCTCCCTCCCTCCTTTAGTTTAGAACTTCAGTTATAACAAATCCCAGTTATAACTTTAGATTCCTTCTGTGCAAGTTCTTTTTCTACATAGATATTACTTTGTATAGGAAAATGGCAAGTACAGTTACAGCATGGCAAACATGTTGTATTTTTTGCTATTGTGTATGTGCATGTACGTGGGCCTTCAAGTCACTCTTGATTCCTGGCGACTACCTGGAGAAGTCCCTGCTGTTTTCTTGGCAACATTTTCAGAAGTGGCTGAGAAAGGGTGACTGCCTCAAGGTCACCCAGCTGTCTTTGTGTCTAAGGCAGGACTAGAACTCATGGACTCCTGGTTTCTAGCCTGGTGCCTTAACCCACTACCCCAAACTGGCTCTCATTGCTATTGTATACCTGAAGGAACTGATACATTCTTCGAAAAATATTTGAGTATAGATTTGGCATTGCACACATACATATATTCACACACACACACACATACACCATATTGAAGGTTTTTCCTCCCAGATGGATATGATATTCACATAAAAAAGGTTGTGTGAAATTATTTTTATTCTTAATTATTTTGAGAGGGTATCAGTCATTCTCAGAACTTAAGGAGAAATCCAGTTATTGAAAAATATTTTAGCAGCGATAAAAACAGTTATTGGGAGTTGTTGCTGTTTTTTTACCTGTTCAGGTAGAACTCACTTTCCTGGTAGATACATTTGTTAAGTGACTCCATGTGGGTCAATCGAGTGTAGTCATTGGGATATACAAAGGACAGTCGAACCTGGAAATATCCAAAGAAAATTAAGCAGAGTAGTTTGTTGGATGAAGGAGAAATAATGGTGTTAGTCCTAAATCTATAAATTTGCCTCAACCTATTTACATATATATATTGTATATAATGTATAAGAGTTGAAATACATTTCTTTTTGAACCTAGGATAGCAAACATATATTGGTTGTGTCACAAAATATCTCAAAGTAAGAGAAGAAGCAATCATCACTACTAATTACTTATTTGTAATTTATATTTTAAAAATTTAGCATATGCTACTCTAAGCTTGGAAAGGCAATTAATAAATCATTCCCATCATAATATTTTAAAGCCTTTCACCTAAACATTCACTCTCAGAAACAATCATGGAAACATATGAAAGATAAATCAGCCGCTCTGTCATTCAAATATCCTTCAAGGCATTTTTACGGCAAAATTATTCAATTTAGGGCCTTCCAGTGTGTTGCATTTCAACTTCTGTAAGTCCCCAATCAGTTGGGTTGGAGGAAGTTATCCCAAAACCTGAGATATTATTTGATCAACACAGAGACACGCAGGGTGCAACCCTCTACATCAGTGTTTCTCAACTTTGGGTACTTTAAGATGTGTGGACTTCAACTCCCAGAACATGGCTGGCTGGGGAATTCTGAGAGTTGAAGTCCACACATCTTAAAGTTGAAAGGCTGAGAAACACTGCTTTACACACTTATCTGAAGTCAATCCCACGGTGAGCAGCAAACTTTATTTTATAGAATTTTCTAGTTCAAACTTTTCCAGTCTGGTGTGCTCTAGATGCACTGAGAGTACAACTCTTAGAATTCCCAGAAAGCATGGAATAGAGCCATTATGTGAGCATCAAGGTAATTTCTAGCAAGATTCTTTCAAATGGAAAAAAAGTATTTTAAAAAGGGTATGAATTAGCAGTGCATAACTTAATGCTGCAGATTATGTCAATTAGGGTCAGAGTTTAAAAATGTCATGTCATTCAAGTAGTCAAACATGAGAAATAAGAAATTACTCTTCTTCACAATAAGGCTGAAGGTGTGAACTCTGTTCATGAAGAAATAGACCATACAAATAAAGGTAGCCTTACTTCCTGAATTTCTATCTGGTAAGGTCATAAGGCATAGGTTGGTTATGGCTGCCATGATATCTGGGGCATCTCTAAATGCCATACAACAAAATCCCAAATTAAATTAAATATATAAAGTATTCGTTTTAAAATCAATGAAATAAAGTTTTGAAACTGTTGAACAATGTTTGAGAGTTCTCAGCTGGGATCTTGAACTCTTAAGGGTAAAATGAATGAAAAGTAATATTAGCCAAATTTAATGATTTTGTGAGATTTGGGCTTTTTAAACATTTTGGGGGGTGCATTTCTGCTGCCATCATACAAAACTGCATAATGGGGCCCATTGTCACAAAAATTGATGCCTTCTCTCTAAAGCAAGTAGGCTAGGTAAGACTCAAACCATTTTCTTATAGCAGCAGAACAAGCAAATAAAGCTTGGATGGCATTAATTAATGAAAAAATAACAACCCTGCAACTAATGTGAAATACTCAGCAGAACCAGGACCAAATTCCCTAGTAGGCTTCATGATTGTACAACTATTTCTTGACAGACAGCTACCAGATGATACTGTATGCAACCACGTTCTCCCAATAAAAGCCATCCCTTAACATCATCTTCAGCTGGCAATGTACATAAGCTGCAAAAAGACTCGTATCGAGGAATGAGACTCACAAAATTAAGTCCCTGATAGCGGTGCAGTTTGAATCCATTGACCACATAACTTGGTTTGTACGGACATTCTGGAATGATCCTGCGGATCTGGGATTTCCTCAAGAGAGGCACTAAGGAGACCAAAATGAATGAAAAAGAGGCAGTTGCAAAGGCTACATTTCCAAGCTACATTTCTCTACCAAACACTAAGCTCATGCTGCAGGCCATCTTGAATTAATTTACGCCTTCAAATGCTTCCCCAATTGTCTCTGCATGAATATGCATGCACAGCCAGTTTCTTCTGACAAACATGGACAAACATATGCAAAAGCCCACTGTCAGCTTTTGAAACAACTGTGTGAGTCTTGGGACGATCAGATTGCTCCAGAGGGTATTTGGGAGATGAGCTTGGTCACTAGTAGGCATATTTGGTCTTGTTACATATTTATATTTAATTTTTTTAATCTGACTATTCTTGCCCTACTGCTGCATCTGACTTTTACGAGGCGGTCTAGCAGAAAACCTGGATGTTTACATGCATAAATTTTGTCCCGAGGGTCAGCCTTCAGCATGTCAGCTGGATGTTCTGCAGCATCCTGACCATGCAGCATCTGGTTTGCACGAGAGGCTGGTGTCTGTGGGATATGACCAACTTCATCCATTTTCAGAAGAGTTTCATCTAAGGTATAAAAAAAGAAAAGGTAATACAAGTAAAATATAATAGATGGGGGAATGGAGAAATAATTCATTTTCTTAGGCCAGGAGGCAATACTGGAGAAAATCTGACTTCTAGAAATCTAGATTCAGGCTTCTCAGATTGGCAATTTCCAGGTAAACTGGGGCTGCAATTCAAAAATTCTCAGTTAGTATATCTAAGGATCCCGGGATAGGAAATACTGCCCTATGAAATTCTATGTACTCTTCACTTTGCCAACACTGGAACTTCAATGTCACAAGAAGCAAAAGATATGGGGCACACTTCAGGGCACCTCTTTTCCCAGATGCCATGGATCCATAGCTTTTCCATGCACCAGAAACACATACAGCACAGGGAGAAAATTACATCAACTCTGACCAGATGTAGTTACATTTTCTTCCATTATTTCAGATTTGTTACTCCATCTCTTCCACTCTGTTCTTCTCACGCACTGTTCCTGTTGGAGAAGGTCTAGACCTTGCTGTAGACCTTGCTAGAATGACTCATTACCTCATTACATTTGGACTCTCACAATGCCATTTGCTAGGGTGCATTTGAAGACCACATAGAAACTGCAAATGGTCCAGAATGAAGCAACTCCTGTGTTGCCAGGTGCTCAGTGCTATGACCATGTGACATGAATTCTGTGGGCCTTGCATTGATTATCAATAGCTTCTGGGGGCAAGTCAAGGTGCTAATTTTAACCTATAATGCCCTATATGGCTCGGCATCTGCATAGCTTCAGGATCACCTCTTCTAACCAGATGTGACCTGAGGTAGCACTCCCAGGAAAGATTATTGACAGTGTCCTATTTGTGGTAAGTAAGGGCCAGAGGATGCCTGGAAGTGTTGTTTCTCTGCAATAGCCGCAGTCTTCTGGAATAGCTTCCCATTGGAGGCAAGATTGGTCCCATCGCTAATATTAGAGAAGCTAGTTACAACCAAGTTATTCTGGAGATGAACTGTGACATCATCAGAGTTGGCTATATGATTTTAATGTAACTTTATTTCAAATTTAATTGACGATGAAAGTTGAATTGTTGTACTTTATAATTGTTGTGAACCACCCAGTCATATGATGCAGCAATGTATATATTTAATAAATAAAATAATATTTAGATGAATAAAAGTTTCTCTGGTGCTCAAAACATTATAAGGATGACAACCAGGCAAACCTTTCTGAGAAGTATCTTCCACAGCTGGCATAACATCATCCACAAAGGCCTTCTCCTTAATAAAAAATTATTTCCTCTCATTTGGTAGGGGCATATGGCAAAGGACTTCTGAAGAGGGCCTTAGTCAAGAGACTATAATGTATAAAGCAGTCTATATTGCCTCTTGACACCCTGTGAAGTCTATCAAATATGTAAAAATGTTTAGAAAGCATCTGTTTTCTATATGCTAGCATTAGTGACAAAGCATTTCAAATAAAAGAGGTAATGAAATCAGAGAAAAACTGCTACCGTTATTAGCTTTGTGGCATAGAGAGACTCACCAGCATAAAGGGAGAGGAATTGAGAATCAATAATTGCAAACTTGGCTTCAAGGTCATTCAGTCTCCACTGAAAGAAGAAGAGAGATGCATATGGAATTTATACATTTGTTAACTGGAAAGAAAACAGAGATTAATCCAAATGCACCTTAGCTACTATGACCTTTCAGAAAAGAAAACCAGGAGATTTACTATTTACTTCTGGAAGGTTGCTGCAAACATCTTTTGAGCTGTGTTTGACTTTCCAGGCTACAATTTCTGATCAACAAGGTCAAGGAAACTATTTCAGAAACACTATGTACAGTCAGTGACTGAAATACAATTTGATTTGAAATTTTAGGTCTTGCTTCACTCAGCAGGAAAGCTCTGCAAAGTTAATGGTAGAAAGTACTTGAGTGCAGTTTCAAATAAAACTCCTTAGAAAAGATCATATTTTCATTTTTCTTAGGAGGTTAAACTTTGCATAAGAACATGAAAGTAACAGGTCCTATTTGGGTCTCTGGGATGTAATAAATAAAAAGGCAGGATGTGAGATATGTGCAATCTTTTCTTTATTTTTTCACCCTTGAGTATCCTCCTCCTCCTCCTCCTCTGGCTTGAGCATTTTGACTAACGCATCTACCTGAATCAAATTGTATATACAATGAAATTGCTATTAGTACTCACTTCATGTACTGTATCAGAAAAAAGATGCTTTCTCCAACAAGTAGAAATGCAAAAGTTGATCCATGAAATGTCTATTGCCAGAACAGCTCTTAAGCCAAATCCCTGTATAGATAACCAAATACAAATCTATCTAGTGAACTTACTGCCACTTCCACATGATCTGTTCCTTTGTCATCTTGTTTGTGTAGAACTTCAAAGTAATATTTGTTTGCAGCTAACAAACTGTGAAGGGAGAAAAGAGATTAAAAACAAAGTATGTCTTTTGCTATCAATACAGAGTATTAGAGGTATTGAAAATGAAAATGACAATTTGGACTACTTTCTTGTCAAGAAAACAATAAACCCACTTGTTCAGGGCAATGATGGGATGAGTTTCTTCCAAGAAAAACCCATGTGGGGCAGGATGTGGGGCAGTTTTCTTTGCATCTTTTCTCAATTCATCTTTCCATCTAAGGGGTCCAATTACTGGGCCTTTCTACAGTATTTGGGGCCTCTAGGCAGTAAAGTCAAACCATCAATCAGGCATAGCAACATTATGGTAGGCTAATGGAGAAAAGCATACTGTTTCCTTGCGTGTGCATGCAGAGTAGCCAATCTTCAGATGACTACGGTGTCATGTGATTATGTGAATGCATACTTGACATTTGAAAAATGTGCAATTAAAGCACAGCAGATACTTTTTCCCCACTGCTGTGTTAAAGCACTAGCCAACTATTCCTGAGTCAGCAGAAAACGACGCCAGCATGGCATCCAGTGCCCCTATTGCCAATCCCTATCTGCCTCTTGCATCTGCTCTGTGTCACTGCTGAATGGAGTTGCCCTGATAAAGCATGAGCAGTGTGTGATTGGTTGAGTCCTCTGGCTTTGTTGTCCTTCCTCTTCTGCTTTCCTATGGTTGGTAGGAAAAAGATCCCCACTATTGGTGCTGCAGGATGAATTGGGAGATCTGGCCTCTGTTTTTCATCTCTAGGTTTCTTCTTGGGCCAATCCTTCTATACCCCATTCTGTCTTTTTTCTTTTTTGGTGCCTTCAAATCAGTACTGACTCCTGGGTACTGCCTGGACAAGGCCCTGAAGCTTTCTTGGCAAGATTTCAGAAGTGGTTTGCCCTTGCCTCCTTTTTCCTAGGGCTGAGAGAAAGCTATTGGCCCAAAGTCACCCAGCTGGCTTTGTGCCTAAGGCAAGACTAGAACTTACGGTCTCCTGGTCTCTAGCCTGATGACTTAACCATTACACCAAACTGTCAGAAATGAATACAGTAAACAACCAAACCACAGACTGGAGTTATAAAGAGAGCTGAACCACAGCAACACTTTATTTCAGATTTTTCTTCACTTCATTTCCTTTTGGGAACACAGGCTAATTTCCACAGCCCTCCATGTTGTCTTTGGTATGGAAGTGGTGGCAGGATGGGCCCATCCTTCCAACATTACACAGGTTCAGCCTTGCATTAAATCAGAAGAGTTCAAACACTCACACTACAGCCAGCTAAGCAGTTTAACTGTACTGGAAAATTCTTACAGACCACCGACACAGCACTGCTGCATCTAACAGTCAAGAGAGACAACAGCAGAACACTGACAGACTAGGGATTGGAGGGAAAGAGGCATGTCTGCATCATTCTGAAGTTAGCCTCTGATGAAATGGGTGGGGAAGCATAATAGATTTCACACATCTTGTGCCTGCCTGCTCCTGAATGTGGTTGCCTTAAAGGGGGAAATACTCCTTTAACACTGATACAGCTAAGGATGACTTAAACCTATCTCATTCACAAGTTGGGCATGAGATGAGGGCAATGTCAAGGAGAATAGGTGGAAACAAGATATTGCCAGGATTTGTTTATGCCATGGTTAGGCGCAAATGGGGGAAAAGCCCAAGGAAAAGGATCAACAGATGTGCAGAAAATTGTACCACTGGCCACTAGGGAGCACTCTGAAATTATTTTGAGCAGCTAAAAACTCCACTTGCAAACTTTTTGAAGTCACAGTGATTTAGAATGATTTAAAAAAATATACACACAGTGATGTGTATGAGAGATTTGCAGACTGAGTTTAAGACGGGAAAGAAGATATGGCTAATTGGCTTGTATCCAGTTGAGCAATGTACAAAATGGAATGAAGATCTCAGCTTACTCACTTCACAGGTCTTGACTTTTGGCTCCTGAATTTCCCAAATTCACCTGGTGCTGTCCACTCCTTCCCAGTCTGAACAAAGATACAAAATGTCCCTTTTATGTTAGGCTTCAGTCACACAAAGCCGCAACTCATTTTTTCACTGGGTAATTGTGTACTTTCAACCACAGATTAAATAATATAATATAAATCTTCAATGATTGTTAAAAAAGTGAATGCTCTTGATTGCTAATTGTCTTGACCTTAGAGACAGAACAGCATTGCTATCAAAGCTGAGTGAGAGATGTAAGAAGAAATGAAAGCTATGAATGGAAGAAGGTATTCAGGTACCAGATTTGCAATTTGCTACAGTGTCAGTCTTGGCTGTCCCCCATTCAGATGGGTGCAATGTGGTTGTGACTGAGTGAATGGGGCCAAAAGGGGAAGGAGAGAGGCCACACAAAAATTATGAACTATAAGTATTGAATGAATGAATGAATTAATTAATTAATTAATTAATGAGTGAAATGAGACATTTCCAGAGCTGACTAACACAGACAAACAGCATGAAAATTTTAGAAGGCAGGATAGCATGCTCTTATACATTTTGTTTCCAATTTTTTTTATTTTAAAAGGTAAAGAAACTTACTTTTAAAATATCCAATTTCTAAATGTAACTTAATATAAAGATAATCCATAAATCTTAAATTTATATCATTCTGGTTATTTTTCATTATTATCTTCATTTGTGTAACCCAGACTTCTGGTGAGGACTCAAGGTGAACTAAATGTCTCTGAGGGAGCAGAGATGACACTGAGGTGAGATCAGCAGCCCGAAGGCATTTTCTGGCCAGAGAAATCTCTCTGGATAAAGGAGAGATTGTGAGATTGCCCACATGCACTCCAGACAGCTGCTCCTCATGAGTAAACTGAAGAAACTGAGGTTTCTACAGGCGGCTTGTGAGATGAGCAGCTGGGAGCCAAGGGATTTCCATCTAAGCTCACAGTTGCAATGTAGCCTTATGGACACAAAGTTCTGCTGAGCCTCATTTCTTAATCACTTTTGGAAATTGCTTATTAATTGCTTTTCAATCATTAAGAACCTTTCAATCAACAACATGCACCACGTGAGTTTACTTTAATCCTTTGCAAAAGAAGTTTTAAAGAGAAGTTTAAGGACATTTAAAAAATCTCTTTTTTTTTTTAATAAACTGCAAAAGGGTGATTAGAACATTGATTTTGGAAAGTTACAAATGGACTAGGGGTCCAGATAGATTTGAAATAAGATTTTCAAATCCTTCCCCTGGGAAAACACTATTGTTATGAATTCTTGAAGGAAAACATGATAAGATGGGAATTTGAACATTGGACACTAGAGGGAGCTAGAGACAACTAAAAGTTACAATTAAAGGGGAAGAACATTTAACTTGGACTTATTGACACAGAATGGAGCAAAATAACATGGGATGTATTTGAGGGTATTATTAAGCAACGGATCCAGAAGTTGATCTTGAAAGTGTGGATAGGTGGCTTACGGGAGATGTTGTGGAAGAGGAACAAGTTTGCCAGATGGGACTGGGACTGATATGAACATGGATTTGAAAATGTTGAGTGGCAAACCAAAGCAGTGACTTGGATAACTTTCTTCTATTGGATTTACAAAAGAAACCTTAAATTTCTCAAGGATTTTGTAAGAAGGGACAAAGAAAAAATGAAAAGAAAACAAGCTCAAGGATATTATTTGAAGGAATAAAAGATCATGATTTTAAAAAGTAAAAGGAAGGAATATAAAGTGGGTCTATTTGATAAAGGTTAAAATAGATATGTTTTTATTCATTTGTTTTTTATTTATTTATTCATTTGTTTTTTATTTATTTATCAAACTTATCCCTACCCATCTCCCCCCAATGGGGGACTCTGGGTGGCTTACAACAGATTAAAACAATAAATAAATATATAGTTAAAATTTATAAGAAAACACATGTGGTTATTTCTGGCAATCCTTAATGGACTTTTGCTGACCACGACTCAATGATGAGGTTATAAGGATCTGTTTATAGCTATGAGATATGGGATGAAGAGATTGTTGTATTTTAAGAGAAGGCGATAAGTTGTTAAAATTGTTTATACTTGTTGTGATGAAGGGGGAAGTTCTTTATATATTTCTTTTCTTTTTTCATTGCTATACTTTTACTTTTTTTCTTTTTTTCTTTTTCTGTACTTTCTACTTTTTTTGTAGTTTGTATTAGTTTTTATCTGTCTAACTATAATATTTAATAACATTATTATAAAAAGAAAGAATTGGCACTAAATACCAAGTCCATGTTCTCCAAGAAGAGCCCACTCCTGGTTCCTGCCATATCTCCTCTTCCCCATCACCACTGTTAGGTTATTTTAATTTGGAAACTATGGCGAGATTTTTTTACCTAGCTTTTACTAGGTTTTTACATTCATTTGTGTAATCCAAGTATTACAGAGAGATTATTTTCACAGTTTGTCACTAAACCTTGGCAGCCAGGGGCAAATGAGGAAGTAGGCTTGGGAGCCCATCAAAACTAGACTCAGAACCTTCACGGCCCTTGAATTAATACATCCAATATGTAATAAACATATGTGGTTATGAAATGTTAATACTATACTCAATACGAGTTGTGCTGTGATATAGCCCCTTAACTCTTCTGCAGTTCTGTGTCACATTGGGTGATGGTAGGTAGTAGGGTTAAATAGGAAATGGTTTAACATTGTTTTCTTATTTGGTTTTTACAGCATTTCTCATTTTGTGTCCACCTGCAGACCTGACAGCTGGTATCCCTGGTCTCTGTAACGGTCCCAGAAAATTGTTAATGCGCTCTGGGATACCATTCAAGACCATATGACAGCTGACAAATGTAAAGATATCATGGTTGAAATATTAGCTGCTATCAATTTTATATTGATGTATTAAAGTTGTGTTGATTTTAAATGCATAAATTAATATTGTAGTGCCACACGCTTTGTGTAATATGAACAACCAATTTCCCCTTTTTCTTTGAAGCAAACGTTATACATGAAGTGAAGAACTGGTTAGTCACCTTGCCTACGCTGGCCATCAGTTGAAGTTCGGAGATGTTTTTTCCTGGACTCAGCCAAAACTCGGCATTGTCATCAGACCCAATCGCAAACTGAAACATACCTAAAGAAAAAATCCTGGATTTACCTTTAAGAAATATTCAAAAAAGATGGGAAATGGTGTTCCATGCCAGTGGAAGCGGAATGAATTCTTCCTTATCAGCAAATGTGGCATTATTGTAAACAGCTAGAAGCACATGGGATTATTCTGCATAATCCAAGATTCTTCATTCTTCCACATTTTTCTGTTTTCTCACTGAAGGAAGCTACCTGCCCTGTGCACTTCAAAGAATTAAAATGCACTGTGCTAGTTATAATTACATTTAGCCTAGTTTTATATTATATATACAGCAAACAACTAAACCACCCTTACCATTAAGAACTCAAAGAAAAAGGACTGTGAGTTTGTTGAGGCCTATATGAAATATCTCTTTAATATTTCACACAGTAACAATTTGCAAAAATTGGAATAAATCCATAGCAGTACAAACAGTTAAAACTTGCGGTGCATATCTGCACTCTTAATAGATATTTAATAGAAGCCATTTTCCTGATGTGTATTAATACTTGATTTATTTTTATCTTTTATATTTTGACCATCTACCAAAGACGTCTAGGAGCACTTATTGTAAAAGCAATTTTGCCAAGTATCCATTTCCTCTTTAAGGAGCTTCAAACACAGCTTACCATCTGAAGCTTATACAGAATTGCACTACATTTGGTGAGGAGTGTAAAGTTTAAACAGAAAAGTAAAACAAAAGGAATGTAAACAACAGAAACTTCAAGGGTAATAATAGAGAGTGGAGCAAGAGGTGATAAACTTAAAGCGCTATCTCTGTGCACAGAAACCTGCGTTAAGTCCAGGCCTGGGTCAAACAAGGGATCTGCAATAAAAAGGACTTTGATGCAGTAGATTTAAGCGTATTTATTTATTTATTTATTTATTTTTATTTATGTATATATCACATTTTTCACTACCTATCTTGTTAAAAAATTACTCTGGGCAGTTTACAGAGAAGATAAAATCAGTTAAAATACAATATAAAAACAAATAATAAATAAATTCCAAGAATTGATGGAATTGGCAAGTAGCTCAGGGAGGGATATGCTAGATCCATGGGATACGTTCTGCCATGCTCTACATTTCTACTCAGCAGCAGCTCTGAACTCCTATATGGGCCTGGACAAGGGAGTAGCAAATATAAAGCAAACATAAATAATGTTATTAAGAAGCTATGAAAGTATCTTCAGATCCAAATTATTCCATTCTGGTAAAGTGATTTGTAATAGAGCCAAATTTTACTCTTCCCTTACCATCCTTGTATGGATGCAGGTAACCAAATATCCGCAACCCGTAGTTTTTCCATTTTGGTGATACTGCTAGCTTCTTCAAAGTGGTTCGTGTCTAGAAGTATAAGAAAAAGCAAATGTTAGAATTATTAAACTGAGCTGGAGGAAGATAAAGGAGTGGAGTCAAAAGGACAAAGAGAAAAGGTTAGGAATTCTGAAATAAGATCAGGACTATTCAAGGAAACAGAGCCTGGGCAAAAAACAACATAAACCATGTGTTGTTTCATGTCCAGGCTCTGTCTCCCTGAATAATTAGATGTTTAAGGGCAGTCATTTTTACAAATATAGTTTTGCTATCAGCACCATCTTTGGTTTTTAAAGCAATAAGCAATTTAAGTGCAGTATCAGCACCAACTCAAAGCAGAGGACAGAGCAGCCCTTAATAGCCTAAGGAAGGACCAAACCATCATCATCCTCCCAGCAGACAAAGGCCGAACCACAGTTATTATGGATAAATCACAATACTTGCAAAAAGCCAAAAAGTCATTAGAGGACAAAGGAACCTACATCCCAGTCAATACCAACCCAATACAGAAAGTAGACAACCTAATCAAGAGAACCCTTAATGACCTAGCCAAGAAAGGCCAAATCACAAAAGAACCGTGGCAGATGAAGAGCAGTAGAGCCATCCTCCCACATTTCTATGGATGACCAAAAATACATAAGCCCAACATACCTCTCTGACCAATTGTATCTTTACCAGGGACTCCAACCTACAACATAGTGAAAGAACTGACAAAAAAGCTTGGACATCTCACAGAGAAAAGTGAATATTCTATCATCAACAGTGCCTCCAGAAAATCAAAGATGTACACATAGATGAAGATGAAATTATGGTCTCATTT